CAGCTGGGGAAAGGGGGAAGTGTGACATTTAATCCTGCAGCAAGGTCAGCACTGTGGAGAGCAGCTGGCCCATGGATCCTGTCGTGGGACAGCCTGCCAGTCCTCCTCTTGCACACTCCCTTTGGCTCCAACATCCGTCACAGAACACAAGCATCAGCAGAGTCTGTTGCTGTTCTGTGTCCTGCTCTGTGCACTGTTGTCAGTACTGACACATCACAGTGCTGCATTTATTTTATGAGCAGTCCATGGGAATATCATTAGCAGCCTCATAGCTCAGTGGAGGGAAAACCACCAGGATTTTAGGAAACAAGACACAGAGCAGCATCCCAAGCAATTACTCTAGGTGACAATTCTCAAGTTGTGACAGTCAGATGACACAGTGCAGTGCCAGACGAAGGAGCAGCAACAACGGCAAGTGAACCGAGTTAGACACTTCAGTGGCCAAGACTGCAGCAGAGATGGCACTAATTAGACATGGAAGGACAGGATGCACAGCTCACTGTTTGGGAAACATGCCACAATATAACACTACCTGGTTGTCAGATGGAGGCTGGTATAATTTAAGTATAATGCTACTTATAATGTTTAAAATATTAGAATAAGAATTCCTTATCCTAGTGAGCAGAAAAAAAAACAAACCTCTGACTGACAGATTTGGCCCAGCCTTCTAAACTTTAGCAACAGCTCTACTGTGTCGAAAAAAGAAAACACAATGGTAACAGACAACAGTTGCACACACTGTTCCAGCTCCACTCAGGAATTCGGAGCAGCTCTGCTTGTGTTTGACCAAAATAAACCAGAAAAATCAACACTGAACTTTGTGTATTTTGCAGTATCAATTCAATCTCGTTTAAAGCTCTCAACCTCTGGCTATCTCAAGAATCACACGTTCTTTAGGATTCAGTTTATTCTATAATAAACCCAAGCAGTCTAACAAGCAGCTCAGTATTACCCATAATTTCTCCGTTAAAATTTAAAAGCTAAAATTTCCAATTCAGATTATGATTAGAAACTAGTATTTTTCTATGAAAAAAATTTCAGATAATATCTTCATCTCAAATAGCATAGAAACATGGGAAAATAAGTGGCAAAGAAAAAGAGAACAACTTGCAAACATGACTGATAAAAGGCAAGTGCTCTCGCCTGCTGTTTTTATGCCTCTCCAAACTGTCACCCATCTCCCTCACAAGGAAAAAAAAAACAGTAGAAAAATAACAATTTTTACTGTATTTTTCAGAAGATGACAGAATAATATTTATTTCACAGTATTACAACCAAAATCAGCAGTGACTACCACTAGCAGAAACATCCGAATTCACAATAAGGACAGATTCTTTCTCCCTTCTGTTCTTACTTTTAGGAAACCTCCAACAGTTGAGATGGATTGAATTTCTGGGTGCAATTTAGTTGGTACCCATTTAGAAATAGCTTTACCAATTTGTTCTCAGTACTGCTGCCAGATTTCCTTCTCTTTGGCGCAACCTGCCAACATGATTTAAACAGGATCCAGGTTGTGGATCTTGCTGTTTCATCTACTACCATCCTTAAACCCTTTGTTCCTTCCATTGCTTGACGTTCTTCTTGCTCCCCCACGTGTGTTCCTGTGCACTGAGACAAACCCCACAGCCTAAGAGGCGCTGAGGGATTGTGGGTTGAAGGACAACCATTGCAACCCCGTGACTGCTCACTGAATTCACAACAGGCAGCAAGTCTGTTGTCAGAGAGGGTAAAAATAATATTAACAAGACACAACTCACTAAGCTTCATAAATTGAAAAAAATAACACCAAGATTTTACACTGGGTCTAGGTAAAAGTCCTTTCTGCCCACTTTCCCTATGACAGCCAACTGCTTTGACGTAACTGACCCATCAGTTTTCTTAAAAAACAAAGAAAAGTGCTTTCAAATGAATACTTGTGTGGCAAAATGGATTTTTAAACTGCCCTCTAAGTCATGCTACTTGACCAATAATTAGATAAATATGGAAGAGAGACATTAAAGATTCATGTTACGCATTTTAACAAATACCAGCCTGTCAGAGGTGCTGGCAATGTACATCCAAAGAAATCCGGCAGAAAACACAGGAATACTACATTGCAACTGGCTCTTTACCCTGATCTGCTTAACATTCCAGTAAAGAATAAAACATTTCTTCCCCAAGTCGGGAAAAAATAAAAAAAAACAAAATCAGGGTTGCACTTTTTTCCTCTATGATGTTTAAATGGAAGGAAACTTGAATTGCTGAAAAGACTTTTAATTCTCAATCAAATTGTACTCTTCATCCCCCTACCCTCCACAGAAAGAGCTGTGGCACTAAAATTTAAGACACTAGTGCCAGGTAGGTGATGAGTACAGTGGTATGAAATGCAAAACCTCCAGTATCAAACTGTGAGTAATTGTTTAAAACCAGCCAAAGAGTCCCACACAAAACTGTACAACTAACAGCACAGTCCACACCCATGTAAGTTTTTGTTTGAGCAGAAGAAACATTCTCAATACAAAGTTCTTTATGCTACACATCTAAGATCCACTGTAGGAAACCAGTCTGCTCCTACTCCCTGACAGTGCAATTCAGGATCAGCTGGGATTGATAACCACCAAGTGATGATCAACCTTGGCTTAAAAAAATAACTGCACCAAGAACCCAATTTGTGTAAATGCATTAATTTCATCCAGCCAGTCGTTTGCTGGTAAGAGGTTAATGCACACACACTGTGCTTAGTACTCTCCTTACCTGATACTTACCAGTCTCAGCAATAAACACCACAGAAATATGTGAATGAAATAATACTGTGTAAAATAGATGTATAAGTAAAATGAATACCCAGTAATTTAATTAAAGATTTTACCATCTTGGCTGCACCAAATTTAAAAAAATTTTCCAACTTCCGTCAAAACGATTTGTCTTGAAAACAAACAAAAAACCAGACAAAATTCCATTGCTCAGTGTCAGGATCACAGGTTAACAAGGTCTGCTCGAGTCAAAATATTTACTCACCTACTTACAGTCAATGGCACAGACAACTACTCACCACTTACCATTTTCCTATAGGGACATCCTGGCTGACACTGCCTGTAGGATGCTGCAATAAAGACTTACTGAATACTTACATTTCCAGTGTATTAAGCTTCTTGAAATTTATTTTAATTTTTTTCCCTTTGTACAAACCTATCACATTTTGCCCAAACCAAAAGGTGCTGAACATTTAAAAAAGTAATTCATTTCTTTTTGCACAGGACAAGATTATATTCAACTTTTACCTCATTGTACAGCACATACTGACCTCCACATTTTTTTTGTATGACTGAATTCACCTTTTTTTCCTGTTGTTTATAGGTTCTATGCATATTCCCATAATTATTTTCAAGTATTCTTGGATAGTGATTGCAAATTTTTATTTCAACAGTAAGAAATGTTATAAAATATTTAAAAATAGTTGTAACTGCATGTAATGTGCCTCATGGGCTGCCCAAAAAACTGCTAGTAATTCATACCTTGGCAGAGATTGTCATATGCACAGGAAAACCCCATTAAAAATTCATATTATTTGTTCTTCTTCAAAAAATGTTTCACATTTATGTTCTTTCGTATTTTGTCTGAATAACTACTACAGTAAATATTTCTGCTACACTACATTGAATACTTGGGCCACCCAGTGTAGTATTCTTGCACATCTACAGAGCAATAGTAAGGCAGGTTTGGAACTTGGCTACAGTCTCCATTAAAACTAAAAGAATAAACACACTGGAACTCAGAACAAAATTCTTTATTGCTATTTTAGAAGAAAAGTGCAATTCATAACTTTAATTCTCAATTGAACATTAAAGACTATTCATGCTTTATAATCCCTCAGAGAGCAAACAGAAAAAAAAATTTTTTTTCCCTGGACATTTCTATATTCTTATAAATTAGCCAGAAACTTCAACTAGTTTCCCATTTTTCCTTAACTTAAGCAACTATAAGCATTCGTAATCATATAGTTAATTGCACATTTTAATTACTCAGCCATGGCGGTGTGCAGCAACAAACCCCTCAATAAAATGTCTATCACTAACCTTCACGGTTTTCCACAGGAAAGTGCTCAGAATCAGCCCACTGCAGTGCTGCCTTCACCAGCTCCTCCTGCTCTGGTCTACTCTAGTCTCTCCCGTCCTTCCACAGCTCACAAAGTAAGAGAAGCAGCTCCATCTTCTCCTAAAAAGCAACACTAACAAGGCCAGGGTATGTTTTATTGCCTTCCCTTGATCATGTAATCCCCAACACCTGCTTCTCCCTCTGAGGTCCCCATGGCCTTCATGCCCCTTTCCCGATCGATTGTCCCTCAGGAGCATTACTTATTATATAAATTATACGCATAATTATTATATATTTATTATATAAAATCTTGTCTCTGCCACCTCCCAACATTTGCAGCAGGTATTTTTAGGAAAAGCAGTCACCAGCTGTGCCTTTTCAAAGTGGCAATGGCCCAAAGGTACCCTGTTGCTCCACACCTTCATCGTAGGTCAGGTGTGGGAGTTTAAGACTCATCATCTCTCTAAGCCCACCTTTCGCCAACCAGGACCCAACTGCCAGCTATTTCTGCCCCCTTTGTAAAGTCAGGATAATATTTTAATCATCCCCACAGCTAAAGCGTCCATGTAATCCCCTCCCTCGGGGCAGGAAGGGCCCCTTTCGCCCCACACTCCCTTCATGTGACCGATCCGCCATCGCGCCGCCTCACGAGGGTGCCGCCACAAGATGGCGCCGGTGGGGCGGCCACAAGATGGCGCCAGCTGGACAACCCCAAAATGGCGCCGGTGGGGTAGCCACAAGATGGCGCCAGCGGGGCCACTCCAAAATTGTGGCAGCAGGGGAGGGGTGAGGGGACAGGGAGCAGCGGTCTAGGCCTGGTGCCACTCTCGACCTATCCAGAAATTTAGGAAAATCACCTTCCATAAAACATTCCCCAACACCATGCCTGAGAGATTGAGGTTTGTGGGGGTTTTTCCCCCGGTCTCCCAGCTCTGAGAGCTGAGCAGTTTACTTTGGGAAGCCCAGAACTGCTCTCCATTTCCATCTGGATAAATGATAACCGTGCCTCTGAAAATAAATATCCCTCAACAAAGCTTCTATATAACCAGGTAAAAAAATGTTATAGTAAACAGTGAAGAAAAGTCATAAGATTAGTCTTTTCCCATGAAGTCAATGCAAAGAGAAGTTAGGAAAAATGTAGACTACTGTTAAATGAAGACCACGAGTTAATCTAAGCATCAGGGATGCTGATGCTTTACTTCCTTGGGAGTCTGCTGTGTAACAAAGAGGGAGAAAAGAACAGGCATTTAGGTTTTTTAAACACCATTTTGGCTACAAGATAAACTCTTTTAGTGGGAAGAGACCACTCTATCTGTGAACCGCAGGGGAATTGTAACCATGGCAGTAACACAGTTCTGTTCTCCTGTACCAGAGCACATCAATCGCCTTTTGAAAGCACTAAAAAAACCCTCAAGGCAAGTCTTCCTTGCTGAAATGGCTGGACCAGCCTGGGGAGGTAGACAACATGTTGACAGTACAGTATTAATCTTAACGTCGAGGGAAAAGGACAGATGGACTTGCTTTTTCCCTGAAAAATAAGTGTGAGGTTGCACCGGGCAGCTTAAGAGAATGGTAAAGGCAACAGAGATGAGGGAAGGAAAGGAAGCAAGACTGACAAGGTAATTTACTGTCTATTCTTTGTGTTTCATGAAACACACGTCATCACTCTCTAATAAAGCTTTCAATGTTTCCCAGATGCTCTCAGATAGAATCCTGGCACAAAGTGATTTTTATGCACGGATGCATTATTTTCTCTTTATCTGCTGTATATTAAGGACAAACTGGAACGTGCTCTAACAAAGTTCCAACCTACTCTCCTAGGCACAGATGAAACAAAGCAAAGTAACACTTTGCAACATCAATAGCCCTGAAGAGAAAAAAAAAAAAGTAACAGAGCAATACTGAAAACATTCAGTTCATTTCTCCCCAGATTCGCCAGATTTTTCTGCAGGCTGAGCTACCATTTCCTGTAGCACACCACGTTCTGGTTTGACCTTTCCATTTTCAGTCCTACCAGGACCGTTGGTTTTGCTCAGCATGTGGATGGGAGATGAAAAAGGAGGAAAAGTGGGCTGTGTACTTTGACAGATGGCATCTTCCCTCCAGAGCCAGGGCCCGAACTAGGGCTCCCATGCTGCGGTTTGGGGCGTTTGGGTGGCAGGACTTGCCAGCTCTCAGACAGCCTGAACAAGGACAAACTGTTTCAACCACTTGTGTCCTTGAAAATGCCCATGTTTTGTTTGTTACAGGCAACCAAGAAAAAGATTGCCTCGGCTTGGGAGTCACCCAAATCGGGCAGATGGAATCATGTCACTTTGCTTACAGAGTTATTCGCATCCTCTCTCAGATTCAGCTCCTCTTTCTTTTACCCACAGACTCCAAAGTTGTGGTTTTCAACAGATTTGTCTCACAGGGTTAGACCCATTCAGTGAGCTTTTTGTTAACACTTTGTCCAGCTCTTCTGGGACATATTTCTTTCATAAGTCAATATTTCTTTAGTAAAAATACTGGTTTCTAACCATAAATCTAAAAGCTATATCAAAGGAATATAACAATGTCATTTTGTTTTGGTAAGATCACATTACTCCAGGGAGATTTGTCTGCAGAAGAGGTAGGACGTGTAATGTGTGCAAATTCAACAGTTCTGCGTGCAATTTCATTTTCCAAAAGACAGCAAAAATTGGTATCCCAAATAGTTTCTAATTTGAAAGCATATTTGCTGAGTTAAAAACTGTGTTTACACTGCAGAACAAAAGATGCAACATATTTCATGTGTCTGATTCATTTCAGGATAAGATCACAAATATAAGGAGACTGAATGCAACATGCAGAGGACAAACCCCAAAAGCCTGCACTGTTCACTAAAGGATGCTGTAAGATTTCCCCAAAGGCACAGGAAATTCGTAGCACAGTGACCTGTCTTTTTGCAGGTGCTGTCACAGAGCCAATGGACACTCAGGTTTTTGTGTGCAAATTTTTCTATGAGTATTTCAGCTGCAAGAATATTTGAGCACCTCAATAAACAGAGGGACACTAGACAAGCACCTCCTGATACTGAGCCAGCTACCAGTGAAGCAAGTGAAATGGAGAAGAAACAGCAAGATGATGTCTTTAACACTTTAGATCATTCTACAGGCATGAGTCTCAGATTCTGCTATCCCTATAACCTGTTAAAGGGCATATTTAAGAAACTAAAACCTATGGCAGATTTTATTAGGAGCCTTCCAGCGTGTCCTGGGCAGAAGATATCACTTGGAATTGATGCAAGTCTCAGAGAAGACAGCCCCTTAAAAAAAAAAAAAAAAAAATAAAAAAAAAAAAAAAAAATTCAAACCACAACTGTAATACTTTAAAGGGGAAAAAAAATACTCTGAGTAGAGCCAAGTTTTAAAATTTTCAGTGTTCATCCCTGATCAGAGAGAAAGAGGCTCTCATTGAAAGTGGCAGTATTTCTGCAAAGATCAGAACTAGAAGCTGCAGTGACTTCAAATGCTCTGCCTGCAAAGAACCTTTCCATTTTTTGCTTTATTTTTTGCAATTATGAAATTAGTTGAAAAAAAGTTATTAAGCATTCAGTTTGAAGTTCTGTTTGGAAATAAACATGCATTATAGCCCTTCTGATGGAATAATTATTGACTAAATATTAATGTATTTAGTTAGATATGTCAACAGAAGTTCAACACAAAATTTTTGAGAATATAAGGCTTTCCATACCCTATTGATTGTCACCAAATACATACAGAGCTGTAACTTTGCTACAACTTAAGCTTTTATGTTTGTTACAGCAAGTTTAACTTCTTGATTAAATTTCAGATGGGTGCATTGCAATTTCTCTCTCCTGGCTCTTTCACTGACAGATCTTGGAATCTTTGTGGAGATAAAACCTTGTTTTTAAAACCAAACCACCTACTGGGATTTGTTCTTAAGTACCTGCCTTCTGCCAGCCAACAGGTCACACTTCAGATGTGGCTGTGATCTCATTAAACACCACTGCACTGCCTCACTTCATGCAGGAGAGCACTGAAGGGATAAACATGACAGAAATCTGTTTTAAAAATCATGGTTTCTTTTAACTGTTGATGGATATTTCAGGAAGTATCCATCAATAGTAAATATTAATTGCAAGTCCCTGCTGTACATGCTACAGCTGTTAATAAATTGTTACCTTAATCTAACTAATGATTAAAGTGTCCATACAGGTTTTCCTCACTGCAGTTACTTTGCTTTCATCTCATGCCATGACTTGCACATAATACTTTAGAGGCAGGGTCTGGCTGTACTATCTGTTGGGAGTCACTGCAGAGCTGCAGTAATGAAGACCAGCATTGCTGCCGTGTCTGAAAACATCAGTGTAGTTGAGATAGGCCCAAAATAAAACCCTCAGCTCAGTAATTTTGAACTGGACAAATGGCCTAAATACATATTAGAGGTTGGGAAGGCAGAAGTAGCAAGGGATTTGGCTGGGGAGAAAGCAGATGAACCTGGAAATAAGCTCCAAGACAAAAGGGATGATGATCTATTTCAATCATGGAATGAAGAAACTGGAAATACCTCAAACACAGAGCAGAGTGGGGTGTTATCAAGCCCTGGTTCTGAAATTTGTGGCTCAGTACATGTCTGTCACTTGAGTTTAATACAGGTAACAAACATAATCAGCAGTTAGTCTGTTCTCCTCTCTCAGCATAAGGGAACCTCAGCATGGTAACCTTCAGTTAGGGAAAGGTCACTAAAAATTTCCTGCAGAAAGCACTTTTAACTCCCTTGGAGCCTAATAATACATTTTATTTTGCATTTGGAGAACCTGACTGAAGCTCCAGTGCCATTTAGCATCTTCTTCCACAGGCAAGTGATTGCCCTGTGCAATTAAGCACCTGCAATACAGAGCCTGGTGAGAGTCCCTTCATTGCCAAATGTCTCTTGCACTGAGAAAAACAACATGGTGAAAGGTGAAAACCAGAAGACTTTCTTTGCTCAGAAGTGATCTCCAATTCTTTCTTTACTCTTTTTGTTGTTAGTGGCCTTTACTTTCACAGCTTGTTATTTGAACTAGGCAAATGTCTCCATAAAAATACTACTTTCCTAATCAGTGATACAAATTATTTAACATTGTGATCTGCAACATAGTTTCTCTAAATTCTATTGGAAACCTTCAGAGAGGAGAGAAATTCTGCTGGAAAGTTTCATAGGGGAGGGAACTGGGATCCAATTCAGACACAGACAGAAAGAGCTATAAGCCATAAATTTCTATGTATACCTGAAACTCTCCCTCAAAATTCATCAGTAAAAATACATGTTATTTCTGCAAAAATTGGTGGTAAAATCTTGTCTTTTGTCCCAAATCAAAAATTGAGTTTCCATGACTTTTCTTAAGCTTGCAATTTTAATGAGATAGTTTGAAAAAGATGATTAACATGGAGGACTACTTCTCTCATTACAATAACCTTTCCGATTCTTTCAGAATAAATTTTGTTGAACACCTTTCCTGTGATTTGCTTCATTATCTTTTCATTTAAATCATCTTTGATGACACACCATTTAATTAGGTTTATTGTGCAGGTACTGATGGTTAAACTTGTGCATTCAGCACATGCACTTCCATTTGACTAATGTAATAAATCTTATTCATGCCAATGTCACCATCCATTACAAAAATTAACAAGGCATCATCCAGTTAAACTAAGTTTGCAAAATGTTGTTTATGAAGAATTTTTCTTTCACACCATTATAGGATCCCTTATTGATGACTTTCTTGGTGTTCTGTGATCCAAATCATAAATAAAGATTTACTTGTCAACATAAACTGTAAAATGTTACCTTCCAGGGAGTTAGCCAGTGTTCTCCCCCAGTCATAAATACGATTCTCTTTGTTGTAGTATTATTAATGTTGCATTTTTTCCTGTTATGAGATTTTACAGCCAAGAAAAGAAAGAAAATTGCCTAGTAGTTAATACCAAACATTTTACACACACACAAAGAAAATCTCATGTAATAACTTACAAATTTACTTTGGCCTGCAGCAAGAGGCATATATTCACATCCTGTTAAATTTGCAGATAAATATGTATTCCCGTGCACAAAATTTTTATTGTCAAAATATATCGTTCAGCAGCTGAAAAAAAAAATCAGCAGGATATCTCAGAAAAAATTCTGGCTGCAATGATTAAAGGTCCTACAAAATCCCCTCTGTGCTTCTATTACTGTTTTTAACAGGGTTTTTTTTTTTCAAATAAAACAAGATTTGTAGGAAAAAGTAATACACTTTCCTAGATCAGCTGATGTAATTGGGAAAAAGGACAAGCTTTTAGCCGGTGAGCCCCTCTCTCAGTCTGATTCTGATGGGGCTGTCTTTACTGCAAACCAACAAAGCTATGAATGCCAGCATCAGGAAGCATCAGTCACTAAAAGCCTGTGGTCAATTTAGCTAAGACCAAACTAATTAGAGCTGAAGCAACACTTTCCTCACCAGTCACTGACTGAGTGGAGATCTGCTCTGTTACCTGGCATTGAAAATCCTTGATGAGTTTTCTCAGCCCATGGAATACCGTGGTAGTGAATGATTTGTGCACCATTCCATTAACACAAAGCCTGCTGATGGCCCCTGTTCTAGGACTCTGAGAGATGGCACAAATCAGGTAACAGTGAAGAGCATGACAGCACAAACCCCCAACTTGGTTGACATCCAAACTTAAGAGCAGTGATGGTTACACTGGAAGCATCCTTGCTGGATTGCCTAAAGTTTTCCCCAGGAAAAGGAGTTGCTGTGCCACTCTCACAGCAGAGTGAAGTCGAGATTTATGAGGTGGCTCAGATAATTTCCCAGAAATAATGAATCACTAGTCATTAGTTTAAATCATTTTAGCCATAGTACCTCTGTTCCAGAAAAGTGCTTCCACTACTGCTCTATGCTTCTATAAAATAACTTTGCTTTCAGCCTTTTTTTTCTTTTAATATAAGCTGCTTCACATGACAATAAAAAATTAAACTGCCAGGACCACAGCAAAAAAGAACAGCCCTGTTCATGGTGAATCTCTTCTCTGTGAATTCAGGTCTGTTTAAGAAGGACTGTCAGGCAAATGCTCTTAGGCTCAGAAACACATGGTTCACATAAGAACAAAACCAGACACAGAATAAGATCTTTTAAACTCCTGCAGAACATCTGAGGAAAAACAAGTGAGAACAGCTAAGGGCTCAATGCTCCTTCAGAATAACAAAGCTACTTCATAGGCCAAGCTTGCTGCAATGCTGCAAAAATGCTGAGGGGATCAGATGTTTGAAACCAAAGCCCACAGTGAACAGCCATGACTGGTTATGCACCCACCCTTCCTGCATGATAAAGGCCAAAAAATATTTTTATTCCAACTAGAAACCTCAAGAAAACTTTGAGAGCTGTTCTTCCCTGGTTTTCAGGCTTTGTGACAGTAGCCACGAATGCAGCGTTGGGGCATCAGCAAATGAGAAGGTCCAGGTGGTTTGAAGGCAGGTTTGAAAGAGGGTGTCAGCCACAGACAGTGACAATAAAGCTGGATTAGCTCCAAATGGAGACAGAAACAGCCACCACTACATCCAAAAGTCATAGGGAAACTTCAGAAAAGAAGCAATGATGGTGAGAGCAGAACAAATAGATGAGCAGGGCATTAAATCCATAAAATTGTCAAGGGTACTACTTCAAAAGTGCTCTATTTTATACATTCAGTTACCTGAATAAATCTGTCGTTAAAATATTTAAATATGTATTTAAAATAAAGAGAAAAGGTGCTTTGTAATCACACCCTATTTTTCTCTTTTGCTTTCCTGCTCTGCCAGTAGTTTGATCTACAAAGTCCGTACGCGTACGTGCAGCAAAAATTCTCATTAAAACTCGTGCATTTTTAACATGTAAGATTTTATAATGAAAAACTTAACAGTAACAGATACATGAAAAAAAGAATAAGAATTGTCTGAGATGTTGAATTTCATAGTTCATGACTTTTCAGCACCTCATTATGCAAATCATGTGGTCTTAACACAGCTTTCTCAATGGAATATGTCTTTCTGCTATTAAATTAATTTTCTATGTCTGCTTCTTTTACGTTCTCTTTGTACTTCCTGTTCTCAGCATAAAACATTAAAATGTAGGGTCAAAACCAGAATTCAATGTATATAGACTTAAAAAGCCCAGTGCCCAGAGAAAGAAGGAAAAGTAACATGCAATGTAAA